CCAAGTTCAAGCCTCAGAGCTCTTAGTGTTGTTTGATGGGTCAGTATGTTGGCTAAATATTAACACTTGATTAATCATTTGGCAAACAAGTATTTTGAGATCAACTAAAGTCACCTAGGGATAAAATACAGGATCTAAATTGGCCTCTGGACTCCAAGCTCTGATTTTTTTCACACAACCCCACCTCCTTTTGAAACAAATATAAAAGGTGAAATAAAATAGCCAACAAGGAAATTAAAGAGGTTTCAATTCCAGCCAAGAAAGACTCCTTGGCTTCATACTGACATTCTGTAAAGAAAACCAAAAGCAGAATGGAAATAATTGTAGAAGGATCTAAATGGAGCTGGCAGATCAAGGGGTGTTTATGAGATAGGGAGAGAGGAATGTCTTCAAGTAACTGGAAATGTGCACTTGAGGATACAGACATATGGGAGAACAATGCTACTATGTTCTAAGGGAGACTGAGGCAAGAGGATGATGAGTCTGAGAGCAGTACCAGCTGCAGAGTGAGTTCTTCCCTCAACAAAGAAAAATGACAAAAACATTCCCAATACAATATTTGTAGATTAAATACATAGAGTAGTATCAATTCTTAAAACAGAAGGAAATTTTCATACATGATACAATATGTATGAACCTTGAGGACATTGTTAAGTTCAATAAATCAGTAACAAAAGGATAAATATTCTAAGCTTCTGCTTATATAAAGTATGTATAATAGGTAAGTTCATACAGGCAGAAAATAGGATGGAGATGACTGGGTACTTGTGAGGAGAGAAAAATGGGGAGTTACTTTCTAATGAGTACTTTGTTTGGCATAATTTTTAAAAGATGGAAATGGAAATGGTGATTGCAGTTGTGTTACTCAGATACCAGTTACTTTAGTAAAATATCTGAGATGATTAGCTTAGAATGAAAAAAAAAGGTTATTTTATTTCAAGTGGGAGAGGTTCCAGAGCAAGACTGGATGAGTCCATTGCTTTGGACCTCTGGTAGGTAAACTGGATGGTAATGGTGGGAAGTGGCAGAGTAAACAGCTTGATTCATACAGGAGGTAAAAAGATCAACTGAGGTCCTGTTGACTCCATCAGAGACATCCTCCAAATATCTAAGGACTTATCAGGCCCCCACATCCTAAGGGTCATAGCGCCTCCCAATAGCATCACCCTGGGGCTCACACCTTCAAAATGCAAACTTCTGGGGGATATTCAACATACAAATTATAGTAGTTACACAGCATTGTTAACATATTTATGGGTGCTAGATTGAACACTTAAAACAAATGAAAGGCAAAATTTATATTGTACATATTTTACCACAAAGATTTTTTTTTTAAGGCAAAAGAAGAATGTGCACCAGAGTGATACAACCTGAGAAGGACTCATCTCTATAACCTCAGCTTGGGGAAGTGGGGGTATTACACAGTGTCTCACGTGCCCCAAGCTACCCTTGAACTCCTGATCCTCCTACCATCACTTCTTGGGTGCTGGCATTACAGGTATGCCCAACCACCTCCAGCTTGATCCTGACTTTTAAGAGGAAGGAATCGCACCCAAAAGAATCAGAACCGTTTCTAGAAACTGTAAAACATCCAGGAGACAGATTCTCTCCTAGAAACACATGCCCACTGGCACCTTCATTTCAACCCATTGGGAAGACATTTTGCAATTCTGATCTCCAGAGCAGTGAAATGTTAAATGTAAGGTAACATACCGTGTGAAAGCCATTGTTTTGTTTTGTTTTACACTAACTGACTTAATACTGCTTCCTTATCCACAAAGTAGAGGCTCTGTTACACTTCTCAGGGGTTAAGCTTCCTATCCCAGCAGTACCCTCAGCTGAGAACAGAATTCAGTCTTTCCTCGGGAGTAGGGGACATATCTGCTTCTTAAGGCAACCTGCCCCCACAATCAGGAGCTGATTCAGGTCCGGTTGCCAGCTGTAATGAATAAAAGTATAGAAAAACCAAACCAAAAGAATGAGTTGCTTCTAAATGTGAATTGGTCATGTGATATCCATATTATACTTAAAAAAAAAAAATAGAGGTTGTATGTCTGAATTTTATTTTTACTGGGTTCCTGTGTTTATTCAGCAACCCCACCATAGACCATTCTCAATGAGATCACACAGAGGGCTTGAGGTTTGCAACGTTTAAAAACTAAGTGAAAGATCTGTCACCTTAAAAGATCCGACTTCCAAAATCCCTTTTAGAAGATGTCCTTTAGGCTCCTGATAGACCATCCTCGTCCCTAGCACACGGTCTGGCACGGGAAGTCTCTGGCCAGTCCTTGCCTGAGGCAACCTGGAGGCGCCGCGGTATGGAATCGGCGCGGGAAGACCCCGCGCAGGCGCAGAGCACTTGCTGGGTGGGGGACTGCCGTGGACTAGGTGTGGAACTGGCGCGGGAAGACCCCCCTGCGCATGCGCAGACTGCCGCGCGTGGCCGGGCCGCTTCCCGCGCAGAGACGGAGCACCTGTTACCTCAGGGTGGCCGCCAGCGCCGTCCTTGTCCACGCTGGGCGCCGTCCGTCCCCCGCACCCCCCTCGCTCTGTCTATTTATAGCGCTTGTCCGCACTGGCCCATTTCGGGCAATGTGGTCAGCCCGGCCCGGCGGTGGTGCCCTCGACCCCGCGGCGTGCCCAGTCACGGCGCCATCGCGGCGGAACGAGGGAGCGGGGCCGGGCGGCAGCAAGTAAGTAAGGGCCTAGAGAGGGGATGCGGTGGCGAGGGTCAGCTGCTTCCCTGTGGCGTGATTCATTTGCGTGCTCTCCATGATGATGCCCTTCCCCAAATGACCCGTTCCGTCCCAGCTAGGCTCTAAACGCCAGCCATGGAGGTAAGGGCTCGCCTGCCTTCCTAGAGCCCCTTAATAATGCAGGGTTCGGTTCGTTTAAATTCAATCAGCGCTGAATGTATCCCTGGGCAACTCTCTTAACTTTAAAGCCAGGAATATAATTGCCTTGCATTTTCCCCACATGATTCTTAAGAGCAACTAATGAGCTATAATGCATATTAAAGCGCTTGGAAAAAGTATAAAGAACTGCGAGTGCAAAACATTGTCAGCGCACCAAAGGAAAGAGAAAAGAAAGCTTATTTGTCTTTATCATCTCTGTGATTCGTTATTACATGCCTTGTGTATGTTTGAGGGTGAATTATTAGTATTAAACAAATCAGGGAAACCACACCAGCGGGAAAGCTGAGAGTACATTTAGGGTGGTATGCATTTTCAGAGCTATCTCCTGCCACGTTGGTAAATGTAGGACTGGGGAAAGCTGGTGATGACCGAAACAAAATACAGCAAGGGAGTAAGTATAACATTATAAACCAGGGGGCGCAAACTTAAATGGCTGTAAAATAATCTACAAGGAGAGAGGTGTGAAAAGCAACATAGGATGAATAATGGCTGACCCTTAGGTCTTAGTAAAGCTGGGCAGATGAGCTGCTTGAGCTGCAGTTGGCCTTCCAGGTCACATGGGGAATGTGAATTGTTGCCATATCTTACATTTTTTTTTCTATAGATTTGGAAATGTTTCAAGTTTGCTTATTGAAGCTGATGCAAGCTTCTGCTGGCTCTTCCCCAAGAATGAGGCCTCTATCTTAGAGAGCAAATAATGGCTATGAATTAATTTTGAGGGTAGGAGTGAGAAGTCGGTGTCATAGTGCAACAAATTTTATAGGCAAGAAAACCTTCTGTGTGAATTTTATAGTTGGACAAGAGGATAATAACGTAAAGTTTAAAAGCATGGCTTAAGCAAAGTAAAAATCTCCAAAACTGACATATACATGAAAAATATAAAGGGGTGGGGGCAGACATGGTGGCACGTGCCTTTAATCCCAGCACACAGGAGACAGAGGCAGGCAAGATCTCTGTGAATTAGAGGCCAACCAGGGCTACCTAGAAACACCTTGTCTCTAAAACTATTTTTAAGACAAAGAGGAGGGGGAATACAGTTATTAGGAAAGATCTAGAATTTAAAAAAGCATTAATTTATCAACCAAACCATGCCAAGCAACTCTCACGTGCCAAGTGTCACCACAGACATAATAAAAATAGAGAAGTGAATAAAACATAAAGCTCTTTACTTCAAGAAAGTGGTCTCTGAGCTGAATTTTGAAGAGCTGGACAAGGGAAGAAGGATGTTCCTGACACAGAGAATTACATTTATGCATTAGCATTGCTAGTCCTTTGACTCCACAGAACATCTACCAGGAAGGAGAGTCGGGAAACGGGACAGGCAGTCGGGACAGGCAGTGGTGGGGGGAGCCCGGTTACCAGGAGCCTGCCCCGCTGGAGTGAGTGGTGGTGAAAACAGGCCCTTGATAATTGTTTTTAAATGTGAGGCAATAATTTTCTCCATGGTAATCACTGACTTTATAAAGGCCTTCTTAATAAAGGGCTTTGCTTTAAACATAGGAACTGGGACATAATTTTCTGATGTCATAATGTTGACATTTCTTGGTTTGTTAACCCAAATCTGTTGAAGGCAATTTTGGGAAAACTAGATCTTGGAGCCCTGTCCTAGTCACTTTTTGCTCTTCTGTTTTTGTTTTGTTTTGGGGTTTTTTTTGTTTGGTTGGTTTTTATAAATAAAAAAGCAAAGCTTTGGTGTTGATCATTTCTATCATGGTTGTAACCTATTCACTGTTCCAAACATTTTTATGGGGGAAATAAACAGGTAAGAATTCTGAACCTAGTAACTTCCATCACACAGGTCAATGTTAAAGAAATGAACAAGGAAGGGGGTGTTGGGAGGATCTCCACAAGATTTCAAAGCTCTTGTCATTCGGGCCACATAGGAGGTTTCTGTATTTTCTCATCACTCATAACTTGGGCTGCCTACACTTTGATATGTAAATTTACAATATATGAAAATTCATAATGTATCTATTATTTCTCTGCATATGACATATCAGATAATGTACAGGCATCATTTATAACACGGCTAAGGTTTTCAGAAGCCATAAGTGATTAATATTAATACAATCTTTTAAGCACACTTCATGCAGTTTTCAAGATATACAAAAGGGCTTAAAGAACAATGAAGTGTGGATTGAGTCCTCACCCTACAGCTAGGGGAATTAAACATTTATACAGTTGAAACTCCTTGTCATTCTTTGCTGTTGGTCTCCCTTTCTTCCACACCCCGTGAAAACAACCACTCTCCATTGCTTTATGTTCCAGTACAGTTCCAGTACAGGTTCTTAAAAATACATAATTTTTAACCTTTTTGTTTTGGTGTTTCCATATTTACAGAAAAAATCCAGAGATAATATTAAAAATTCTTGTAATACACTTTACCAAATTCACCAACTATTTATGTTGTCAGAATATATTATCTACACTACTCTATTAGAACAGCATACTGTATTGTATATTTTAAACACATTAGTAGTATGCAGCATGTATTCTAGTCTTTTTCATAACCATGTTTTTGATACATGAAGATCATGTTTATTAATTTTTCTGCTGTGCAATATTCTTTTGAGTGAATATATTATAGTCTTCTGCTAATTGTGGTTTTTGCTAAAGGTGGCTTTTGCTATTTCAAACAGTGCTGCTATGAATTTTAATTACTCTAACTTCTGCTGAAGATGGAGAATTTTCTTAGAAAGGAAAGCTTGGTCATGTATCAGTCATTATTCAGAAAAAGTAGTAACTGTAAAGATGATAAAATCAAATATTGTAAAAGCAAAACATTTTTTAACTTTCTTTTTATTTATTCTTTGTGTCATTCACATCATGATTCCCAGTCCCACCCATCTCCCTCCCCCAGAATGAAACAAAATAAAATTTTTTTAAAAAAAGGGCGGGGAGAGAAGCGGGGAGAAAGAGAAAGCTCGTCCTGGAAGCTGCAGTGTGACACAGTGAGTCACGCACTAAACCCCATTATCCATACATTTTTACATGCAGGCGTTCATCTCAAAGAATCATTGGACTGGTTCGAGGCCCCTGGTCTCTGAAAGCAAAACATTTATGATGTAAAGAAATTGACATTTTTGCCCCCCATTAAATTTATAGCTGTGTACTTCTCTAAACTAAATATAATGGACTTGGGTGTAACTGCATTTTGAATTTGCAGAGTAATTAGGCTTTATTCTTGTGATTTATATTTATCTTTGCTACTCATCTTTCTCCATTATTATGAGTACTATTATTATGAATGCATCAGTTCAGTCTGCTATAAATTGGAGCAGAGAATAACTCCCCATTGATATCATTGAGAACATTTATACAATTTTGTTTTGCTGATGAAAGGAGAATGTACTCTCTGCCCTCATTATGAGAAAAAGTTTCTGTCAGCTCTCTCCATTTATGAGCTGTATCTGTATCCACAAGTGATTTGTGTATGGACTCAAATTATTTTTGTTTGAAAAATGTTTGTACAGGTGTGGCCTGCCTTCACTTTACCAAGTAGATTTTACAAAGCTAATTGCATGCATAACCTTATTGGTTTCTTCCAACTATTCCCACACAGTTCTCAAAAGAAATCCCAGGGGAAGAAGCTAGAACTTAAAGAGGCTATGAAACATGTTCATATTACTGGATTACCACAGACAAGGAGTCAGACCAAGGCCTCGGTAACCAAGCCCAAGGTCAGTCCCTAACTGCAGAGCAGTATTGTTTGCTGAGTCACTGTGATGGTAAAATATACCTATTGTCCATTTGGGGGCTAAAGACTGAAAAAAAACTGCTTTATTTAAAGATTTATCCCCATTGTTCAGATGAAGAAACCAAGATTTAGGAAAGTTTAAATCATTTTAAGATGACAGCAAGTCAGTGAGCTGCTGGCCTAACCCCCGTCTGCCACACCAATACCTTCTCTGCTCTTTAAATGTAGAGACAATGCTGAGAGTATTTTTGAAGTGTGGTGGCTGATGTAACATCCAGGCTTTTTTTTTTCAAGATTTCAACAAGCAAATTAATTTTATCTGTAAAGCCAAAGCAATTAGAATACCTTTCAGGAGTCTATAAACAGCAATTAGAAAGAATAGGTACTTAGCAAATGTGTATGTCCATTTTAACCATTCACAGTAAATGATTCTTCCAAGTGTTTGAAACTGTTGTTTCTCTTTTAAAGGAAATTGAAGGGGTTTTGTTGTTGCTATTTGTATAAGCCAATGTTTGAGAAAGAGGAACCACATCCCAAAACGCCATTTGTTCAAGAGATTGACTGTAGCTATAATAATATAGATATAGATATGAACAAACAGTTGATATTTTCAAAGCAGACAACCAATTCTCAAAACTCTCCAGCTGAATTTAGGAAAAGAAGTGGAGATTAGTCACCCAGACAGGATAGTGTCCTACTCACAGTCTTGAGAGTAGATTTATTTATAGCTTTGGATCAGTCGGCAACCTGCCACTTGTTTTTGCAAAGTCTATGAGCTAAGAACAGGTTTCGTAATTTTAAATAGCTTTTAAAAGTCAAAAGAAGAATAATATTTCATGACACATGAAAATAGGGCATGTTGAATTTGTGAAATTCAAATTTCAGCATCCAAAATTCATTTTACTTGAACACAGTCATGTTCATTTGTTTATGGTTTTTTTCTGTGGCTGCTTTTGTGCCATAAGAGCAAAGTTGAGTAGTTGTGACAGAGCCCAGATGGCCTGCCTGGCATATTTACCACTTAGCCCTAGGTTTCCAGCCCTTGCACTAGAAGGGCAAAGGATGCAGACGTTGGGGTCAGATGGAATTCGGTTCACAATTCAGTCTGTCTCCATGTATAGTGCCTTGGCCATTTCGAGAGAAGCCAATAGAAAAGAGTAACTTACGTGATTAGTGCTTTTTTTTTTCTCTTGAGACAAGATATCACCATGTAGTCCTAGCTCTGAAAGTGGCCATGTAGATCAGGCTGGCCTTGAACTCATAGAAATCCTCCTGCCTCTCTGACTCTGCCCAAGTGCTTGGATTAAAGGTGTATGCTACCATACCCAGCTTGTGATTGGTGCGTTTTATGAAGGAGATTCTGAGAGTTCTATTTGACAGCAATGGTATCTGAAAATATAAGACTACAACCTAGTGATGGAAATAATCACAGCTACCTTGGGCCATGTTTCTCAACATTTCTTAAATGCCATTTATACAAGTAAGGTTTCTAGATTCCAAATAATAGCATTCCCCAATTCAAATCAGCTTAAATGGCCTCCAAACTATAAACTGTTAATATAAAATGCATTTTCCAACACATTGCTCTGAATACTCTGCCTCCCTCCCTGGGTTTGCTTTGTCCTGATGCTGGCTCACAGGGACATGGCTGCAACAAGTTTCTAACATATGGACCTCCCAGCCATGGAACCAAGACCTGAATTTCATTGCTACAGCCACCCTTGGGTGTCATGCCTGTCCTTGAACCAGTAACATTAGTAAGGGATGTAGGGACCCGTCTTTTTCCAGGAAGGTCGGTTGGATACTAAGGGAAGCCCAGCTTCATCCACTATAAAATCAATTAAGGTTATCACCAGGACAGATGGCTCAGCAGCTAAGAGGACTGGCTGTTCTTCCACAGGACCCAGGTTTGATTCCCAGTGTGGTGGCTTACAACTGTCTATAACTCCAGTTCCAGGGGATCAGACAACTTTTGCCCGGCCTCTGTAGGTAACACACACACACACACAGTGCACAATTGTACATGTGAACAAAACACCTATAAACATAAAATCAAAGTAATGAAAAATATTTTAAGTACCACCTATATCATAGTTATGAACAAACATAGATTTATTACTTATTTAGCATGAACTTCCTATTTTTATCACAATAGCCAAAAAATTGCACCAAAAAGTCCATCAGGTAGTTTGACTCCTATCTTAAATATGTGAAATCATAGGATTATAATCTTTGGGTCTCAAGCATCAGAGTTCTAATGTTATCAAGATCAGCATTCTAGGAACTGACCAAACTGCCTGTGGTGTATTAAGTCAAGGGTATCTCATTTGGAAGGTACACAGCCTGCTAACATCATGGACACTGGTGTGCTTTGAGGTATTCTTATACATCAATACAAATACAAAAAAAATACTAGGTTTTTTTTTTTTTTTTAATTTACTTCCTTAGCCAGGTGGTGGTGGCACAGGCCTTTGATCCCAGCACTCCAGAGCCAGAGGCAGGCAGATCTCTGAGCTCGAGGCCAGCCCGCAGAGCAAGTTCCAGGACAGCTAGGGCTATACATACAGAGAAACACTGTCTCAAAAACAAAAACAGAAAAAAAGCATATTTCCTTAAAAGAAGGTTTATGTTTGGGGCAAAGGGTATGGCTCCATGGTAAAGAGCTTGCTTAGCACATGTGATATTCCAGGTTCAATTCTCAGATCTGAACAACAACAAAATAGCTTGGGTTCTTTTTAGCCCCAACTAATAGCTGTTATGCATTAAAGGTGTGATGAAGCATCAGGACACCTATATAATGTAAATTGGGCTAGTCATAGTGTGTATAAGAGAATTCAGACATATAACAATCTCTTAGGTGCCCATAATTGGATACTCTTATAGATAAATAAAAAAAATAAATAAATCAGCTCAGTGGTACCAGGTCCTGGGCTCATTGCATGAGTTAGCTGTTTGAAACCTGGGGCTTATGCAGGGACGCTTGGCTCAATCTGGGAGGAGGGGACTGGACCTGCCTGGACTGAGTCTATCAGGTCGATCTCAGTCCTTGGGGGAGGCCTTGCTCTGGAGGAGATGGGAAGGGGGGGGGGGGGGGGGGGAGGGGGGGGGGGCAGGAAGGGGGAGAACAAGGGAATCTGTGGCTGTTATGTAGAACTGAATAGTATTGTAAAATAAAATAAATAAATAAATAAATAAAAATAAAAATAAATAAAAAAATAAATCAGAGTTTTATGCTTTTAACCAGAAAGCCATCTCCAAGAAAGCTTTAAGCTTTATGGAAGTTAAAACAGAAAAAGGCAATGCCAGAAGGCCCAGCAGGTAGACTTTTATGGCTGTTTCAGTTCTTAGCTCGGATGGTTGTTATGTCATAGGCTCTCACAGTGCTTCTTGGGTCTTTATTTATAACTCCTTGCTATGTGTATATCACTTGTTTCTTGAAGTGAAATTTAATTCAACACTCAAAAAGAAAAACCAGGTGATCTTTCATGAAATGTCTAATTCTTTACAAGGCTATAGAAATTTGGGGACTCACTACGCTTTCTAGTTGAAAATGTATTCCTGTCCTTCTAACTCCACGTTTCTTTCTTAAGCATCAACTCTGCCGCCATCATTATTTGTTCTCACTGCCTGTAGCTTTGTAGCCAAGTGAGAACTAGAAAAAGATATAGAGACTAGGACCCTCTCCTCACAAGAGCTCCTGGCTCTGGGAATGTCTTTCTTTAAATCAAAGTAGCTAATTAACTTCCTTGCAACCTCATGTTTGCATCGCCTGGGGAAGACGAAGGTGACACCACCAGCTTAGAGACTTTTAATTAGACTAGGGCTTTTAAAGGCAAGAAGCAATTCAGTCTGTGCCACTGTGAAATAGGGAACAAAGAAAAGCGAGGCAAGGAAGGAAGACACATTTAGGTTTAAGTTTTAAATACCATGAATTCTCAGATCAGCAGCCATTGGCTTTGCTTTAAAGCTCAGTAAAAATGAAATTTTCATTACCTACCAGTCGGAATAATTTTTCCCACACCAAAGTTTAATCAGAGTGTGGACTTTGTTTCTATCATCTCACTTTTAGGGTCTATGTAGCCCTGGTCATAGTCTATGGATTAGTCCTTATACATGTGGTTGTGTGTTGTGGAGGGATTGAATGTAACCCATATCAACACTGCATCTCTTTAGAAATGATATTCACTGATCCCCCCTGTACCCTCAGCCTGCAGGGTGGCCCATTTGATAACTAGAAATGGAATTGCAAAATGTGCTTATCTTTTTACTTCTTTCTTCCTTCACTCTGAGATTTTTCCAGTCCTAGAAAAAAAAAACCCACTGATGATTAGGAACTATTGCAGTAGCAGTTAATAATTGATGATTTGCACATCAAAGTCTTTTTAAGATACAAAGTAGTTGTCTTAAATTGCTCTGTTCTGAATGTATAATATTTATTTATAAATACTTCTTAGCATTATTGATATGCATTAAGTATGAAGAATTTTTTTTCTTAGACAAAACTTTCCTTTTTTCTTACCCTCAGGACTGTTTCATGGCATCTCTGTTGATTTGTGAGTAATCAGAAATGCAAATAGCCCCTCAGGAATCAAGCTAAAATCAAAGAAACCTTACTTACAAATTTCAAGGAGTGTATCATGGAGTGCCAGACTGAGGGAAAGGGAAAACACCAGCATTGCTTGAATTTACTAGATAAAATTAAGACTATGAAAGAATTAGAAGAAATGATTGATGTAGTGCTCATAGCAGAAGAGGAGAAATTCCCTTGCCACAGACTGGTCCTCGCTGCATTTAGTCCTTATTTCAAGGCTATGTTCACCTGTGGACTACTCGAGTGCACTCAGAGGGAGGTCATACTCTATGACATCACAGCAGAAAGTGTTTCAGTGATACTAAACTACATGTACAGTGCAGTTCTGGAGATCAATAATGCCAACGTACAGACTGTAGCAATGGCTGCCTATTTTATGCAGATGGAAGAAGTCTTTAGTGTGTGCCAAAAATATATGATGGACCACATGGATGCCTCCAACTGCATAGGAATCTATTATTTTGCAAAACAAATTGGAGCAGAAGATTTATGTGATCAGTCAAAGAAGTACTTATATCAGCACTTTGCTGAGGTAAGCCTACATGGAGAAATACTAGACATCGAAGCTCACCAGCTCCTGGCACTTATTAAGTCTGATGATCTGAATATATCCAGAGAAGAGAGCATTCTGGACTTGGTTCTGAGATGGGTAAATCATAACCAAGCCTTGCGCACAGAGCATCTCGTTGAGCTTTTGAAGCAAGTCAGACTGGAACTTATCAATGCTTCCTTTCTAAGACAGGCCCTAAGAAGGAACACGATGCTCCTTTGTGATGGTAGTTGCATTGACATAATCCAGAATGCATTTAAAGCCATCAAGACACCCCAGCAGCACTCCCCTAATCTTCGCTATGGCATGGAGACCACCAGTCTGCTGCTTTGCATTGGGAACAATTCTTCTGGAATCAGATCACGGCACAGGAACTATGGGGATGCCAGCTTTTGTTATGACCCCGTGTCACGCAAGACCTATTTCATTTCATCACCCAAGTATGGGGAGGGCTTGGGAACAGTGTGCACTGGGGTCGTCATGGAAAACAATACTGTAATTGTGGCTGGAGAAGCAACTGCCTCTCGACTCTCTAGGCAAAAGAACAAGAATATTGAAATTTATAGGTGTGTATCTCATAGCAGGTTTTGTATTTTTTGTTTTGTTTTGTTGAGATAGGGGCTCATTATGTAGCCATGACTGGCCTGAAACTCTCTTTATAGGCCAGGCTGGCCTTGAACTCACAAAAATCCACCTGCCTCTGCCTCCTCAGCAGTTTTTATATGTTTTTTTTTAAATCTTGTTTTGACATTAGCACTTGAAGAAGTACTGCTGAAGGGTCACATTTTAAATTATATACAGTAAAAATTCTAGTATACATCTTTCATAAAGAGTAGTATACAGAACATACTATATAGCATATGTAATATTTATAATGAAGTCATATTTTAAAATTACTTTTCTTTGGTTTTTTTGTTATTATTGGTTTTTGTTTGGCTGCTTTTAGCTAGTGCTAAGGATCAAACTCATGGCTTTGGCCATGCTGGGCAAGTGCTCTGTCACTGAGCTCCATCCACAGCCTGCCTTTTCCACTAATTGTCAAGATACACTTGAATTTTTAATTACTTAAATATATCTATGTTATGATACAATTGTATTTTTCACTCTTGGCTTTAATTATATGATCAGGCATAATATATATTATATAACTTGTAATAACAAGAAAAGTTTGTTTATATAAACTTTATTTTTTAGTTATTATTTAGAGTAATAAGTAATTTTTTTAAGGTGGGGTCTTATGTATTCTAGGTTGACCTAAAATTCACTGTGTAGCTAAGGGTGACCTTGATCATCCTGCCTACACAAGTGCTGGGATGTCCAGTTTATATGTGGGGACTGAACCTAGGGCTTCCCTCATTCTAGGCAATCACTATGCCAACTAAACAAGGGATCTTGTTATATAACCCAAACTAACTTCCAACTCCTACTTCCTTCACTCTCATGAGTGCTAAGATTATAAGCATGTGACAACACACCCAACTAGAACTTTTTCTTTTTCTTTTCTTTTTTTTTTTTTTGTTGTTGTTGTTTTTTGTTTTTTGTTTTTTCGAGACAGGGTTTCTCTGTGTAGCTTTGCTCCTTTCCTGGGACTCACTTGGTAGCCCAGGCTGGCCTCGAACTCACAGAGATCCGCCTGGCTCTGCCTCCCAAGTGCTGGGATTAAAGGCGTGCGCCACCACCGCCCGGCCTAGAACTTTTTCTTAACCAGAAAGTTTTCATTCTGTGCCCTCAATTTGTGAATCTTTCCTAAACCTTCAGCATTGCAGAACTTTTGAAGAACCTTCAATTATAATAAGAGGAACAGGAACACCTGCTTAGACATAGTTATATAGATACTTAGTTACATAGGTACCTGCTTAGACATAGGTAGGTAAATCTGTATCTTATTTGTGAAAACACATTTACTTTATGATCTATTTGTTTTCTGAGTGCTTACTGTTCAACTACATGAGTATGAAATATGGACATAGAGTAAGTACTAAGAGGTATAACTTTCCTTCAGGATCCTTCGTTTCTCAGATCCCTCCCATCAGGGTTTATTCATATTTTTCAATCATAATGTAATTCTCTGTGACAGTAAAGATGGAGCAAAGAAGGAACTTAGAAGTCTACTATTCCTCCATCACTTATTAGCACTACACATCTGTTCTGAGCCGTTTCTGTCTCTTACACAGTCATGGTTTAAGGAATGTATCTAATCTCCCCTAGTGGGGAGGAATTACAGAGTCCTGGATAATGATCTGGACCCACACCCATTGTGGCCAAGCATGTCACAGGCTACAGGAGCATCCTTCTCAGAATTATCAGTAGACCGCAAAGTAAATATGAAGGCCTTACGGGAAGAACAGGCTTTGGCTTTCCTGACAGGATTCTTGCAGTTCTGTTTCTTGCATGGCACATGCTTTGTGCTGGTGCCCTTTCTATCTTGGGACCTTAATTAAAGAGCCTTGAGCTTTGCAGATATCTCTTTTCTTCCTCATCAAGACAGTCTACTGGTTTCTCACCAGAAATTATTGTTAATAAGCATCAACCCTGGTGTGTGTGTGTGTGTGTGTGTGTGTGTGTGTGTGATGTGTGTGTGTGTGATGTGTGTATGTATGTGTGTGTGCGCGTGCGCGTGTGATGTGTGTGTATGTATGTGTGTGTGATGTGTGTGTATGTGATGTGTGTGTGTATGTATGTGTGTGTGTGATGTGTGTGTGTATGTATGTGTGTGGGTGTGGGTGTGTGTGATGTGTGTGTATGTGTGTGTATGTGTGTGTATGTGTGTGTATGTGTGTGTATGTGTGTGTATGTGTGTGTATGTGTGTGTGCGGTGTGTGTGTGTGGTTTGGTTCTGAGCATTAAACATCTTTCACCTTCACTCTAAAAGCCCTTTCCCCTCCCCTGCAGCAATGTCTAACTGCATACCCCATCATTTCCATTTTTAACTATCACAGACTTAGCCAGGTTCCTGGCACCAAACACCGCCTCCACACTGGTCAGAATTAGGGTAAAAGTTACTAGTTTCTGCCACCTTTACCTCTGATGTAAAATTGTCAGAAAGACGAGTAGTCAGGTTATCAGAAGCATTGCTTTGCACTTAAATGAGACATCCTTCCTCATAACTAGTCACTACAGTGGACTCCAGAGAGCACTGAGAGTCCTGTGTCCCTGAGATCCTGTCTCACAAGACCCTTTATCTGGCATCACTATAGGTCACTTTGGTGCCAATTTTGTGAGAAATGGGGGAAACCAAATGTCCTATGGTGTGTCCCTGCAATATTATTTTATAATAATACTTTAATAATTTTAATATCATTGCTTCTTATCCCTTTAATCTTTACCCAGATGTTCCTCAGATTGCCTGTGTTGTACAGTATAGATGCCCATGTATCCATGCAGGTGTATTTCTTCTTGAGTTAAAGTAGGAAATAGACAAACACCCTGGTAAGCCAGGTTTTTCCATCTTCTTTTATCTTCCTACTTCAGCATATGAAATAAATGAGCATGTATTTATTTTTATTTTTTATTTTTTATTTTTTTTTGGTTTTTTGAGACAGGGTTTCTCTGTGTAGCCCTGGCTATCCTGGAACTCACTCTGTAGAGCAGGCTGGCCTTGAACTCGGAGATCCTCCTGCCTCTGCCTCTCGAGTGTTGGGATCAAAGATATGTGCCACTATTGCCCAGTAAGTGAGCATGTAAATGCCATCTGTAAACGATCAACCTGTTGGCACTGAGTGCTCTTGTCACTGTTACTTTCTTTTTTATGTCATATCTATTTCCTAGTCACAAGTTTATAGTTTTATCTAAGCATTTTATCTCCTCATTTACAGTTCTAACTGTTGAAACAAAAATCAGATTAGCAGGTTATTTAGAAAACCATCCTCAACCTTCATAGTACCAATTTCATCCTACCATGTTTTCTTAAACTCTGCTTCAGAAAACCCAAACCCATTTTTGGTTCTATTTACATATTCACTCAGTTAACTTTACTTTAGCATATTGGTAAGATCTTTCTTATCTTTGAAAAATCCATAAATTAAAAATTAGTGAAAATATCCCTTGTGATTCCAGGAACTCGGACTTCCTTTTTAGAATTGCATAGAAGACAGGCACTGGAAGGTTTGAGAAATCTCTGCATTCAACTGTGACAAGCCACACATGCCTCTATGAAAGGAATATGCCTTTCAGCTTCCCTGTCAAGCCTGAAGCAGAATGTTCTCTGGGGAATGTGAGAGTTGGCCCAGAACAAGTGGGAGAGACTCTGACTAGATGACTAACTGTAGAGTGTTCCTTAAAAACTGTACTCTGTACAAAGCACACATAAATGCTCCAGGCTTCATCTTGTTTCCAAGCAGAACACCTGTTTTCCTATTTTCCATGTTCCTGGGTTTTGTGTTTTTGTTCCACATACACTTTTCTAGATTTTTCTGAGACATTTAATTTCAGATATTTTATCCCACTATCCCCATATGTATTTTTGTCTTTCTCATACCAAATGTCTCAAATTACAATTGGAAAAAAATATATTTACAAGCCAAGCATGGTGGCACAAGTCTATAACCAACCATTTGAGAGGCAGGAGGATGGCATGTTCTAGGCCAGTTTGGGCTAAATACTGAGACTACAGATGGATTTTAACACAATGCTCTTGATCAGTGTTAAACCAAAACTATAACTTAAATAGTGGCCAGGCAAGATGATGCACACCTTTAATCCCAACACCTAAGATGCTGAGAGCAGCCTACCCTATAGCCAAGGCCAGCCTGGTCTATAGCTAGAGCTACACAGAAAGACCCTTTCTTTATAAAAATTCTACCTATGTACAATTTACAGCTAGAAATTCTAAATTGGGATACTTTTTAGATTCTCTGTCTAAAACCATGAATCTTTAATGTTGTACTAAAATGCTATTTCTTATCTAAATATTCAGAATATTTTGTATCTTTGTCTCTTTATTCATTTATGTTAAGGTTAAAACTGATTTTCTGAAAGATTTTCTGTTCCTGATTTTCTTTCCCAGAACTAGGAAATGTTAAAAACTAGTCCAGGTTAAGGTATACTCTTTCTACGTGTCTATTTTTCCTAAAATTCTTCAGGGAGATGAAGAATATATTTTGGCATATTATGTTTTATTCATTGATCCTTGGGGAAAAAGAAAGCAAATATATATTACTGTCTTGTGTTAATTATCTGTTTCTCCTCCAATTAGAAGAGTCAGGTCATATTGTTTTGTGTTGGAAAAAAAAAACCTAAATGTGTTTCTTGGGTGAGTTGTTGCCATGGTAACTCTAATCCTGGTTCTCTCTCTCTCTCTCTCTTTCTCTTTCTTTCTCTCTCTCTCTCTCTCTCTCTCTCTCTCTCTCTCTCTCCCTTTCTCTCTGTTAATTTGCAGGTATCATGATAGAGGAAACCAGTTTTGGGAAAAGTTATGCACAGCTGAATTTCGAGAGCTCTATGCTCTGGGCAGCATCCATAATGACCTCTATGTCATAGGAGGACAGATGAAGATTAAAAACCAGTACCTCATTACAAACTGTGTTGATAAGTACTCCGTAGACCAAGACAACTGGAAACGAGTGTGTCCCCTTCCACTGCAGTTGGCTTGTCATGCTGTGGTAACAGTGAACAAGAAACTCTATGTCATCGGAGGCTGGACTCCTCAGGTTAAGAAATTCCTTGCATACCTACCTGGTGTGTCTGGCTTTGCTGAAAAAATGTGGCAGCTGTTGAGTACTAAAAGATTATGGCTTACATTTTGGCAAAATGCTTTTTTTCATCATATAATATAAACTTAAGTCTTGAAAGTGTCAAAGCAGTTTTAGCAAATTGATTTTTAAATGTTATTTATAGACATGGGTGCATTTAGTATTCGTGCTATGCTATGGACTTCATAATTCTTCCCCTGCTGGCTGATTGGAAAAGATCCCTGTGCCAAGGGGTAGCTGTAGTGAGCATCTAAGTAAGTAGAACAACTGGATCCTCATTCCAGTCTGCTGTCTAATGGCTGTGTGACCAGTGGCCACACTCCTAAGCCTTTTCTACATGTAGGATTCTTGCTGCAGGGGCTGGGGAAGTGTTTCAGTTGGGAAGATGCTTGTACAAGCATGAGAACCTGAGTTTGATTCCTGGCACCCACTTAAATGCCTGTAATCCCAGTACTGAGGAAACAGAGACAGAAGGGCCGGTGGAGCTTGCTGGGTAGCCAGTCTAGTCAAATTGGCAAACTCCAGATTTGTCGAGCTACCTTGTCTCAAAAACATAAGGTAGACCCTCTGAGGAACACCTGGGCTTAACATCTGGCCTGCATATGCACATGTAGATGAACACCCACATTCACCATAAGTACAAACACACACACACACACACACACACACACACACACACACACACGTTCTTACCATAAATGGAAAACCAGAATATTGATTCTGGTAGTGTCACCATCATTTCCAAGAAAGTATGTTGTGACTGTAAACACCAAGTGTTATTGCTGGACATCAGCAATATCAACAGAAATCTGTTGATACTATTGAAGCCCAGAGAAGTGAAGGCAAGCCAATACAGAGATCAGCAGTGTGACCACAGTGGCCCTGTGTCCTTTTGAGGGTCCTCCTGGGCCTTTGGCATTTACAGTGGTGTCTTCTCAGCTGCCCTGTGCTCCTGCCTTCCAGTTTTTCCAATACAGATTACTCTCATTCTATGGCTGCCCCTGTGATGTAAATTTATTTTTCCTGTATTTTCTCTTATTTTATCAGATTTGCCTCATGATCAAACTCATGCTTTTGCATTCCCTTCATAAGCTTGGAAAACTTTATTCTTATGTTTCTATTCATGCTATAGATCAAACATGGTACAGATTTTATCACAGTGAGAAGCCAGAACCTGACATTATCTGTAGTTTCATTTTCCAAAACTATCCACCTTCACAGTGAATTTGCATGAACAAGCCCTCAAAACAACTTGGAAGCTTTGCTTTACTAATGTGGAGATTAAATACCTAAAACAGAAGAAAGTAAGCAATAAAGAAAGTATTTGCTAACTTTCCGTCTCTGAATGAGCATTGTGTAATGAGGCAATCTCACTGAGCTTTGGACACAGCACATGAAACGGGGCTTTGAGTGCCCACACTGTCATCATTCCCACTGTCTTTAAAGCCTAGACTAAAGTGAAGTGCATGTAACATTCCTAAGGGGGCAGTTACTTCTTTGTCGAAAACTTGGACCCAAAAAGGGGACACATAAATTCTTAGCTCGAAGTTGTTACAAAGTTCCAGATATCATAAATAAAAATAACATTATTTTACTTGAAGCTTGTGGGTAGAAGCTGCTTGTATCTATGCAAGAATAAAATTATTCTATTTTTACTATCTAATCATTAAATATACAAATATATAACATAAGTGAATATGTAAACAAAACTCCAAGCAATTTATGCTAATCCTATTATCTTGAAAATTGAAATCAGGTTATTTACATATGACTCATAATTGTGATCTAAAATCCTCTAATTACTAAAACAGTAGAAGTGTTTTGAATTATTAAAATTAGTTCTTCATGAATATTGTTAAAATTCACAACTATGAAGTTTGGTGAGGTTAGGGTTTACTTTATACACTGTTCAAGAGAGCATGCTTTGCTTTTTTTTTTTTAAGATCTTGTGGTTGATTCATTTTTTTTTTTGGTATCTAAATGTGAAAATCACTGATTGCTAATAAACCAGCACGTTAGCCCATTGCACATATAAATCCCTCTGATGTTGACAGAGCACTTACAACCCCAAGTCTCAGGCCTTGGCAAGTGTGTGAGTCTGAGTGAGACAGTTAACCTCCATTCATCTCCTCTGCTGTCTGCTTTGATTAATTGGGTTCACATGCTCACAAAAGCCTCTAAGTGGTCTGTTGTTACATTCGCTGTCATATTTCATACAGATGGATCTTCCTGATGAAGAGCCTGATCGATTAAGCAACAAACTGTTGCAATATGACCCCAGCCAAGATCAATGGAGAGAGCGGGCACCCATGCAGTACTCTAAGTACCGGTTCAGTGCAGCTGTCGTCAACGGTGAGATCTATGTTCTGGGTAAGTAGTAGATTGCTCAAGGTATAGCCGCTTTCATTACTTCAACAGTTTACTCCTGGAAAAACAAAAGTTTCCCTTCCTCTTGTGTCCCAGTTCAAATACACATGCGTAACTGGCCAAAAGGTATTTCTTATTTTCTGGAGTACAAGCCAATTAAGTCAAAGTGCATTGGCTTTGAGGGCAAAACTATTTTTGTGGCATCTTCGAGGGGCTTGGAATGCAAAAGCAGCAGTGACCCGTCTATGGGACATAGATTGGTGAAGTAGAAGAAGTCTTTGTCCAATTTTAGTTGGTGAAATGTGGGGGTTTGCAGCCAACTGTGGTTGTGTTGTGAAAGAGAAAGCCGCAACAGGGTAAACTATGCCACAGATTTTGCCAGTTCTCTTCAGTTTGCCTAACCCTCCAAATTTCTGAAGACATACTACCAAGTGACTTCTCCATGAATGTGTTTCCCCCTCCTCTCTTGAATATGTGTGGTCAGTACTACCCATTGGTGAAAAACTACAGTTCACTAGAGATTCCAACAGTTGGTAAGAATTCCAGACATCTGCGCTAGGTCCCTTCCCACCTCACTCCCTGCGTCTTCCTGCTTCTTCAGTCTTAGTCTTCCAGGTGTGTTTTCTCTCTGACCTCACCCTCTATCACCCCCACCTCCCCAGGGGATGGGAGGACGGGGCATGCTGCGGCTGACTGGACTGCTGAGTCTCAGTCCTCCCACCCGCTTGACTGGCTGACTGGAGAACAGGGAGGTGATAAGAGGCAAAGAAATGGCAGAAAAGATGAGCTCTGGGGTGAAAGCAAGCCAGGCCTCTAATGGAGATGATGAAAAAAAAAAAAAACCCCACCATGAAATGAAGGCTGTTATCTTGGGCTGTTTTCACAGCATGAAGCAGAGCAATTCACATACTCAAATATTAAAATTGTTTTATTTAAGAACAATTGTGCAACATAATTTATGATTACCTCAGTTAAGAGACTCACGATTATAATTAAAGTTTTCCTCTAGATAAATATCCCTTTCTTTGTTATAACCAGAAGGAGAGCTCCCCCTAACAAAGAAACTCAACTGGGCTAGATGAGTAATAAAAATGATGATGTCTTTCAGATGGCTGTGGGAAAGGGCACTTTAGAGGCAACCTGAGAAGCCCACTCTTCATGGCATGGACAAATGTCCACTGGGTGAACAAAAGGGAAACTTAAAGAGACCAACAGCATTTCCGTCGGTGGAAAAAGAGTACATGGACTGTGCTTCAGGAGGGCACAGGAAAGATCGGGGAGCACGAGTGGTGGCGGCAGCAGCTTGGGGTGAGAATGAGGGTGCCGGGAAAAGAGGATACGAGCAGTGGGGATAGGAGAGCCCGGGTGTGGACGGGCTAACACCCGACAGGAGCAACTGAACGGAGGGAAGGTTAGTGTGACTTGGGGTTTCAGAGGGATTCCAGTCCACTATAGAAGGGACATCAGCGTGGTCTGTGGCCCGGGAGGCAGTGGCAGTTCACATGGGATGAACCAGGAAGCAAAACTGTGTCAAGAACCAGAGGTGGATATGACCTTCCAAGTCCCACCTCAAGAAATCTACTTCAGCCAGGCCGACCCTGCCTCCTAAAGGCCCTACAGCCTTGAAAATAGCACTACCAGCTGGGGGTCAAGCCTTCAAACTGCAAGCCTGTGGAGGACATTTCAAATTGAAAACATATCAACTAGGAACCACAATATGAAGGCCATGGATGAAGAATTAAGAAAACATAGTAAAATCAGGCGGTTGGTGGTGCATGCCTTTAATCCCAGTACTGGAGAGGCAGAGGCAGGTAGATCTCTGTGAATTTGAGGCCAGTGTGGTCTATAGAGCAAATTCCAGGACAGCTAAGGCTACATAGAGAAACTCTGTCTCAAAAAACAAAACAAACAAACCAAAATGTAGTTGCTTTGCCAGGTGGTGGTGGTGCATGCCCTTAATTCTAGCATTCAGGAGGAAGAGGCAAGGGGATATCTGTAAATTTGAGACCACCCTGGTCTACAGAGTGAAGTTCCAGGACAACCTGGACTACACAGAGAAACCCTGTCTCAAAAAAAAAAAAAGAAAAGAAAAGAAAAGAAAAGAAAAAGAAAAAGAAAGGAAAAAGAAGAGAATAGAAAGAAAGGAAAAAGAAAAGAAAATATAATAAGCAGTGAGAAACCACACAGAAGCAACTGTTTGGGGAGATAAAAGGCCAGGAGAAGCTGGAATTGGGGAGACCAACTAGTAACTTAGAGTCTTGCTTCTAGATTCCCAGAACCAGGAACCAGATTCATGATCATGCAGTAAGCTTTGCCGTATGTAAAATTCACCCCCAAGTCACCTGGCCCAACATTTGTGCTTAATCCTAAACTTATATATAAGCTTTGAAGTGAAGTGAAACTCAGTTGTTTCACTTCTGTAGTCTTGGTGCAGAGTTGCTCACTTTGTGTGTCATTGGAATTGAGACAAATACACACAACCCTGAAATTGATGGTTTGGATGAGTCACAGATACCTTGTCTGCTTTAGGGTAGCTACATATACCTGCACTGTGTTTGGAGATCCCTGCCAGTTACTGTGAAGATAGGTCCTCTCCTTACTCTAGTGGATTTAATACCCACCACCTCCGGGATAGACTGCAGAGTATCTCCCAAAGAGCAGCCAGGGGCTCCTCCTCACCAGAGAGGCAGCAGTACACTAATGTGAAGAAGGTTCCAGCCTCAGGGTTGAGGGGAACTAAATTCTTGGCTTCCACCTGACTCTGGTCTAGTAAATATTTTATTATTGTAAGGTTAGTTATAACAGTTAAGTAAGATGTATGTCAGGTACCTGCACTGTAAGCATAACAGCCTTCCATGAGCCCCTTGATATTACAGATGGTTCTCATGAGGATGTGCACTGTCCCCAAAATCTTACATGTTGAAGGCCTAGCCACCAGCCTGTAGCACTGTTATGAAATAATAGAAATACTAGAAGGCAGGGCCTCATTAGGCTGTGGTGTCTAAGGGCCTGACTGGAAAGTCTATTCCAGGCAAATTCTAACTAAATGATGACTTAGCTGTATTGATGTTAGACTTTTAACCACAAATCTAGTTTCCACTTGAGGCAAATAGAGCAAGCATTGTCACCCTACCTTCCCACTGAACAGCGCTGCAGAGCATGGCCAACATGCAGACAAAAGACATTTGCTATACATGCCTCAGGAAGGAGCACTGGAGCTGCTGTGACTCTCACGGTTCCCCTCCTGTGTGCCCTGACCTGTGTCAGCTGGAACCCCAAAGTCCGTACTGTGCAGACAGCTCTGAGAGGATCCATGTAGTTCTGGCCTCCATCACTGGAAAGGAAACATCATTCTCAGAGTGAGTCTCCCCCTCTTTCTCCCTGTCTTCTCCCTCTCCCTCCTCCCTCCCTCCTGCCTTGCCATTTAGGCCAATCACAGCTAAGTGTGGCTGGATGGGATGACCAGAACCCCAGGTTTCTAGCCAGAGAACCAGCACAGAGAGAAACTGGAGATGCCAGCCTCATGGACTCCGAGGCTCACCCCAGGCGATGCCTGCCTTAACATTCTCATACCACAGACACTGGAGAACTAAAATCACAGACAAGCACAGCTCAGGCCTCTCAGCTGATTACCCAAGTGATGGACTTCACGAAAGCATCAAAGAACACTGACTCACTTGAACTCTGAGCCCACGCTGGAATGACAGTGCATGATGGCAGCTGGAACCTGGCATCCTGCACCTGACCAGTTTAAAGTTGAAGGGGTCACAAGGAGGGAGGGGAAGGAGAGAGAAGATGAGAGGGAGAGAGAGGAGAGACGATCATTGTTATCTCTAGGATTTAAATAAGCCCCAGAGTTGTATGATCAGAATACCTAGGGCACAATCCATTCTTATTCAGCAGACAAAAACAAACAAAAAAACCAAAAACAAAACAAAAAAAAAATCCCTGGAAAATCTTGAATCACTTGGAGAAAGCACCAGTAATGACAGAAAAGACATAAATACATGAGTCATCTTCCTTTTTTTTTTTTTTCTTCCCAGTATTTCTAGACAGGGTTTCTCTGTGTTGCCCTGGCCGTCCTGGAACTCACTTTGTAGACCAGGCTAGCCTTCAACTCACAGAGATCTACCTGCTTCTGCCTCCTGAAATTAAAGGTGTGCACCACCATGCCGGGCACGAGTCATCTTTCAAAGGCCTTAAAGCAGTTACTCTAAAATACTAAAATATACATATGTATATGTGTATTTATATATAATGAACAGTCTTAAAATACTAGAATAGAAAAACCTCAGCAAAGAAATAGGAGATACAAAGGAAAACAAAGTAGAAATTTTTAAACAGGAAATAGTGTTCCACAAACCAAGAAGTTCGGGGGATGGATGCAAAAGCTGAGAGCAACCGACAGGGAAAAGAGTCAGCGAATGCAAAGACTCATCGTAGAAGCTGGAGTCTGGGTGACAGAGGAAAGTGTTCAAATCTGAAGAGCCTCCTGGTTATGCCTCTGGGATCCCAAATCTCAAATACCAAAGTGTGGGCCCCTCAAAATCATTTAATAATGCCTTAAGAGCTTCCAAATTTGTTTAAAGTTGTAAATTCACAGACTTAAGAAGGTGAACCAACCCCAAATGGAATAAATCCATAAAACCCACGCTCATATCACATTGCCAACTAGCAGCAGAAAAACAAAGGGAAAAAAAAAAAAAAACAAATAGGCAAAATCCCTGAATTGTCTACTGGGGAACACAGGCTGGATAACCAGAGATTTCTGCCCCGGAAACCAGGAGAGCTAGGACTTGGGCAAACACAGCTAAAGTGCTAACAGAGAACCATCAGCCCAGACTTCTGCATTTCTCCGAAAGCCTCCTTCATGAGTGGGCGTCAATTAACGTATTCAAAGACAAAGGAAAGCGAAGACGCTGAATACGAATGTGTCTGCTAAGGGAAGTCAGACAGAAGGAAAAGGTGCCAAGTGAAAACCCACAACACCAGGATGGAATGAG